GGTTTTCATTGATTGTGCAGCCAACATCGTTGCCTGTCTCTGTTCTACCGGGATTGGCCGGCAGATCTTTGAGGAGCTGTGTTCTGTCATCGAACCAGCTCGAATGTTGCCTACCATCGACCATAAACTGGCCTTTCCGGACGCAGATGACATGGAACTTTGGGCCGATCTCGACGCTCTCTTTGCTTCGAATGAGCCCAAGATGGCGCTGGGGTCTGCACAGTTTGCCTGGCTGTTTTTGGCGGATGTCGCATTGCAACGATATTGGGAGCTGAAACCGCAGCTACCGATCTTGCTGCACGCTCTTTTTGCACACCTCGACCATCGACTTCCGTTTGTCCGTACCCGCGCACAGCGCATGCTCTTCCAGATTCTGCGATCCTGGGCACCAGGGTATGATGAACTTCCGGATAGGTCGTCGTATCCAAGCAGAACGGTTCTCAAGGCGTCGATTTCCACCCTCGAAGCCGAGGCAGAGGGTATGTATTGGAAGGAGGACGAGACCAGTGTCGATGCCGAACCGAAAATGAAATGGTTGTCTTCGGAGGTTGTTCGTTTCATGCTTCCGCTTTGCCCTCCGTTGGCGGAATTGTGGGGCTCCTTGGCGTTATCTTGGGGAACTTCGTGCTCGATCAGGGCTACGGCATTCAGGTCATTGCAAATTTTCCGAGCCATCATGGTCCGTGTTACGCCGGGAGATCTCGCTCTCCTCCTCGGTCGTCTGTCCAACACGATTTCCGGTCCTGACGACAACATCAAGTCGTTCACAGCGGAAATCATGCGGACTATGCACGCCATGGTTTCTTTACCTGATCTTGACAAGTCGATGCTCCCCCAGATGTTTTGGTCTGCATGTGCTTCTCTCTCGACCGCAGTCGAGCAGGAGTTCGCCCAAACACTCGGGATCCTAGAGAGTCTCCTATCCCGCGTGGATTTCGATGATCCAAGTACCGCCGAGCTACTTTTGTCGCGCCAACCCCTGGGTTGGAATGGTCCCGAGTTCCTGCAGCCCATCTTGTTGACTGGTCTCCGATCTTCCACCACCTCTGATGCAACGATGAAGATCCTTCGAACTTTGACCAAGGTTCAGGATGACCGTCTCATCGATCCCACCAGAGGGCGTCTTCGTGATCTGTATACACTGGCTCTGCCGTGGTGTGTGCATGCGATGTCTCCTGATACGCCTAACGACCCCGCGTTGAAAGAGTTTGCAGAAGACATCAGCATTCTCGCTGAGCAAGAGGGACGTCAGAGCATCCAGAAAATCATGACCTCCTTTGTCAAGGGCCACTTCCGCACGCGAGATGACTTTCTGCGCCAATCTGTGGCGAGCCTCCGCGAGCACTACGGCGTCGATTACTGGACAGAAATAGTCACTCTGCTCCTCGGGCTCGTTTTAAACCGGCAACGCTGGTTGCGTGTGCAGGCGATGCAGATCCTGAAGCTGCTTTTCCAGCAACGGGAGACCAGGAATCCGGTGGAACTGCTCGGGTCCGAACTGCTTATGCCTCTTCTGCGGCTTATCGAGACGGACTTGGCCGCGCAGGCCCTGGAAGTTCTCGAAGAGCCAATGACCATGGCTGGTGGTCTGGCGGCCAAACACGTTCTGCGCATGAGCATGCATTCGCGTTCTTTAACCAGGGACGTCAACTCGGTTGCCACCGTCTTTGGTGTCCCAGAGCCGTCTGGCTGGTGCGTCGTCCAGTCGGACACGCTTCGCGGTACCTGCCGCTCGAACATGATGGCGGTGTTTGACACATGCTCCATGCCCACCCGCCCTTCTCGCATCGACTTTGAGCCCGAAGTCGAGGCTCTCGCTTCACCGCGCCCGCTGCAGGAGGATCTCGGGGGTCTTGTGCAGAACTTGCATGACCTGACGACCTTCTTCCAAGAAGACGAACGGTCCTCGGAGATGCCAGCGTTCACCATTCCCAATCGGCGACTGGAAGCCCGGGTCGCGGCCATTCTTGCCAAGTCCATTTCGTCTGAGGCGGTCAACGACGTTCCCCAGACGCCTTTCCGCGATGTTTTCCGAGTCGGAGCGATGAGCCCGGCAGAGGACTCTGACGAATACTCTGATACTGATTCTGAACTCGACGCATTCATTTTTGATTCTCCCGTCACAAGTATTTATCGTAGTGCTCCTAATGGGTCGCGTTTGCACTGATCTTGGTCTCATGGATGTACATATATCACGACGCTGTAATTTAGATTAATGACGAATAAATGTACAATACACACACGTAGGACGGGCGTGGACTGCGTGGACGCCGCCGTGGAGGCGAGATCGGGGGCAGTGCTGGCCACGTAAGCGCTGCAGCCTAAATAGGTCGAGGCTCTGCTGTTTTCACGTTCACTTCAATCCCTTCTTTGCAATGTTCATCATCAACTGGTTCTGGGATGTCCTTGCGCAACTTGGTACCTCATACTGTCCTTACTCCCAGCGGCTGCTGAGTTTTCCTAGGGCTTATGCACAAGAATGCCAAAATTCTCTTCCTTGGTCTAGATAACGCTGGAAAAACGGTGTGCTACGCTCACCCACTTTGCCAGCCCGACCGCTGACCATTGACCTATCCAGACCCTTTTGCACATGCTTAAAAACGACAGGCTCGCTACCTTGCAGCCAACCCTCCACCCAAGTGAGTGCTGGCCATTCGTTCCAAGGATTGCGCTGACTTGGACGCAGCGTCGGAGGAGCTTGCCATCGGTAACGTTAAATTTACGACTCACGATCTCGGTGGACATCAACAGGGTTTGTGGTCTTGTCTATTCGCTGTGTATATATTCCAACGCTCCTTGCCAACCCAGCCCGCCGACTCTGGCGCGACTATTTCCCCGAAGTGGATGCCATTATCTTCCTCGTGGACAGCGCCGACTTTGAACGGTTCTCTGAATCCAAGGCGGAGCTCGACGCTTTGTTGGCGATTGAGCAGCTGGCGAAGGTGCCCTTCCTGATCCTCGGAAACAAGATTGACGCACCGGGGGCGGTCAGTGAGGAGGAGCTCAGGCACCACCTGGGATTGTACCAGACCACTGGAAAGGTGCGCATGGTCCTCGTTATCCCGTTCCCTTGCTAATACTCCAACTTCAGGGGAAGATCCCTCTCAACGACATCCGGCCTATCGAAATCTTCATGTGCTCTGTCGTCCAGAGGCAAGGGTATGGAGAAGGTGATTTCGTTTTTGCACGTCTTTCTCGGCCATCCACTTATCCCTCTTCCTTTAGGGTTCCGATGGGTGTCGCAATACGTCAGTTGTTCTTGTCAACGGTTTATGTTCTCGACTGATCATCCACCCAATAGATTTGAACCAAGCGACAAAGCACGCGCGGGGAAGTAGCACAGGTTGTTTTCGCTGGGACGGACGCAGTATTTTTCTTGCTATGAGTACATAGCCAGAAAAATGCTTTTATACATACATGCTTTCAATCAATCAATTTTTGTGTATTTTATGGCATGCCAGCTCTTGTCTCATTCCGCCATGTCTTGGTCGCGTCGATAGCTCTCCGCGTCGGTCTCATCTTGTATAGTGAATGGCACGACGCCCATTCGGTCGTGAAATACACGGACATCGACTACCGAGTCTTCAGCGATGCAGCCCGTTTCCTTCTTTACCCAGCTGGCATTGAGAACCAAGCTCAGGGGCCGCTGAAGCTCGCTGTTGGAGAGTGCGCCAGTTTGTCTCTTCGTCAATCCGCAGGAGCCAATCTTCTCATCTAGTCCGTATACTCGGGAAACGTATCGCTACACGCCGCTGTTAGCGCTACTGCTTGCGCCAAACGAATGGCTCCATCCCTCGTTTGGCAAATATCTCTTCGCCGCATGCGATATCTTCAACGGCGGGCTGATCTATGACCTTCTCATCTCTTTCGTTATCCCTGCCTCGCCGTCCACACCGCTGACGCGCGAAAAAGCAACCCGAGCGACAATATATAGCGCGCTGCATCTCCTCAACCCGCTAGTCTTCACCATATCCACGCGTGGCTCGTCGGAGTCTGTTCTATCTTTGTTCATACTGCTCACGCTGTCTGCCGCACTCAAAGGCCGGTGGGATGTCGCTGCAGTCATGCTGGGGTTGAGCACACACTGGAAGATATACCCCGTCATCTACGGCGTAGCTTGCCTTGGTGTCATCGGTGGGCCTCCAAATACTCCAGGATGGAAAGGGTACCTGCGAACCTTATTCAACGTTCGTACAATTCGTTTTGCGGCGTTGAGCGCCTCTACTTTCCTCGCTCTGGGTGCAGGCTGTTATCTCGTGTCAGTCCTCTCTTTCCTATAGCACCACCTCCATTCTAATGGGAATATAACAGCTGGGGGTACCCGTTCCTCTACGAATCGTACCTGTACCACATCCACCGCCTCGACCATCGGCACAACTTTTCGCCCTACTTTTATCTCATCTATCTGACCTACCCGTCGCTTGAAGGAGCACCACCACTGGACCTGCCATTGTGGAATCGCATTCTTCGGTCGCCACTGACAAGCTTCGTCCCCCAGATGGTGCTTGCCCTTGGCACCGGCCTGGCCTTTGGCCAGCGAAAGGACGATCTTGTGTTCGCGTGGTTCGTGCAAACCGTCGTTTTTGTCGCATTCAATAAGGTGTGCACCTCACAGGTACGCAATTCCTCTCGTCCTTCTTCTGGGGGGAAGCATGACAATTGGTTATAGTATTTCCTGTGGTATCTCCTCCTCCTGCCGCTGCTCCTGCCCCGACTATCCATCTCGCGTCGGAAAGCCATCATGTATATCATCGTCTGGGCGGCGACACAGGCGTTGTGGCTTTGGGAGGCGTATAACCTGGAATTCTTGGGCCAGGACGTGTTCTTCGGGTTGTGGGTGCGAGGACTTATCTATGTCATCGGCAACTGCTGGGTGCTTTCTGGTATCATGGATGGGTACAATGTTTCCAAAATCCATACGTCGTAATCCTGATTACTCACATCCTCATTCGAGTATCGGATTTTACACTGATAACTGCACTGTAGTTACTGTTTCCATCGGCGTCATAGCTCAGTTGGGAGAGCAGCAGACTGAAGTCAAGAACATCTGAAGGTCCCGTGTTCAAGCCACGGTGATGCCATTACTTTTGTCTTTTGCTGGTACGTACACAGCCTCATGCCTTTTTAGCGAACCCCACACTTGAGAGAATCCTTCGTGTTGTCGTATCTCCGCGAAACATAAATGCGAGACCCAATATTAATCTCGTAAGTTGGTCAATACCTGGACTGGTCGCTCCGGTGAGAAGCTCAGGCTCGATTTGAGACGCCATTCATAACGACCGAAGATAGGCAGGTACATTCCGGCGGGGTCCCGCTATGAAACAGCTGGGGTCCGTACTACATGCATGTGTCAAAAATGCATGCTACGGTTACCATTACATTTTCTTTCTTGGTTCAACCCTCTTCCCTGACCGGCATTCAGACAGGCGACTCAGCTATTTTATCCACAAGGACCAACCATTCGGATGATGAAAGCCCAGTAGTAACTACACAACCGGAGTAAAGCTTGACTTCAGCCCTGCCTACCAAGCCAAGTAAGCCAAGGATCGCTTTGGTGCAAAGGAAGATTCAATGTGTCGTACCGCAGTGAGCGCACAATATCATCGACCAAGCCGTACATGTGGAGATCAGCATCCAGGAAGTATCTATAATCCAATGCTCTGCGAAAGGAGGACGGAGCTACTGGCCGAGCGAAGTAGCATCTGCTGGTCCGATTGTACAGCTGATCACCGAGCAGATTGTACATCGCCGAGTCTAGGATCCAAACATGCCTCTGGATTTGATAGATGTCGATGAATAAACAGACGGAAAGCAGCGGGAACTGGATGGGCATCCGATTGTGGAGGTCAAGCTTGTATCCCGTAGATGTCTAGAATGCAACATGAGTCACTGTAATCCGATGAAACGGAGCTGCCGCATCTCGGGGAAGAGCCTAGAGGTTTCCAGCAACACGGACGGAACTCAGTGAGAATCCAGGCCCCCAGAAACGAGGGAATTCCATCCATTGCACTTTCCAGAACCGGAGAAATACCAGCGCCAGATGGGTTTAAATATTATAGCAAAGGCCTAGAATTGCGCTGGAGGGACGTGTACTGACAAGAAATCTAGGAACCGTCCGCATGACAGAACCAGAAAAGATCCTGCCAACCAAGAGGTCTCGAGATCTCGGATCGTGCCCGCGATCAACAACACGTGCTCAGAGGGGGGGCCAAATATTATTATTTGTTTGGCCGTTTGATGCCCTTGCTCTTGAGGCCCTCTCAGAGCGTGTGGGGCACATTGGGCTCATCTAAAAGTATTCAAAGGGCTTGTTATTCATGAATACCGGACCTAAATATTTTTCGGAAGCCTCCACATCCCATACTGTGTAAAAGGCCGATACTTCCAAATTTGAACACAAACCCGAAAGCCCGGGGAAAAAATCATACACTATTATCCAATCTTCTACAGGGCATTCTGGGCCCTTAGGACACTTCCAATGCACTTCCACGGTTATAAAGACACAGAAATGTGCTCCCAGAGCAAGGGCATCAAACGGCCAAATATTTGGCCCCTCCCTGGCACGTGTTGTTGATCGCGGGCACGATCCGAGATCTCGAGACCTCTTGCTGCCAACCTCGTGCGGGACGAGCCCGACCGGGAGGAGGCAAGGAAGTTGACGAATCCGATCGTGAAATCGTCGATCTTGGTGTGACCAGTAGCGCCGGTCACACCCCGTCGCTCCGAAGCCCTCAACGTTGCAGGGTGAATGCTGAGCTCAACACTCACCCTGCACATACCTCACCATAATACCAAAGAAGCCAAGAGGAAGCTTTGAGGAAGCCACTTGGAATCGTGACTGAGGATCGCTCTTGGCCTCAATATATTAGTTGCTACGCTTGAGTGAGTTAACGAAAATACAATGAGCGGAATTTTTGAATACCTCCGGCCGCTCACAGTACCCGTTCCCGCCTCGACTTGTGCCGCTTGCCAATGCCGCATGTGCCGAGCGCCCGATCCCGTCGCCCCAGGCCGACGAACCTCCCTCGGGGACGGTGGGTGAACGGAACGTAGCTTTGCCATTATCTACTTCCGAGTTCCAGATACCCGCTGTCCCCGACGGCTGACAGCCGAGAGTTGGGCAACACCGACCTGCGAGCGGCGGAAGTCGGCAGATGAGCTGAGCACTGGCACCGGAGGAGAGAGACCGTAGGGACACCAGACATGAGACGCGAGAGCCAAGGGGAGAGGCAAGAGGCGCACAAGGGGAAACGGGCAACTCCGGGCAATGACCCTGGGGATAAATGGGAGACGGGAGAGAATGTATGCCATATCGGCACGAGGAAAGCCCTAGATGCCGAGAGCCTGTTTCTTGATGAGCCGAGACGGGAGGTCGAACAGGCACATGGTAAGTAACTGTACAAGATAACGGACCCGGACGGATGCCGAGAGGATGGTCGTGAATCAAATATAAGCGAAAAAGGAACCACAATAAGCGGAACTTTAATTTAGAATGGCCATTTGCATCCGCGCACCCAACGCGCACCAGATCCTGCGGCCTCCGAGCAGTCTGGATCACTTGGGAGTCGAAAGAAACGAAATCCTCGTCCCAAGGCACAGGGACCGGATAATGGCAGGAAGCCAGTCCAAGGAAGGTGGCAATGGTTGACGTGGCGAAGACCAGCACAGACGCGGGGGTACTTAGGCGAGGCCCCCGGTCACTATCTACTAACTACCTCCGGCGTAAAGTAAATCGACGTGGAAAAGTTGGCCTCAAGCAGTCCGTCTCGTAAAGTAAATTGGCGCTCAAACCGGTCGACTACCTCCACCGTAAAGTAAATCGGGCGGAGCCCGGGATTTTTCTTTGGAGGGTGTACTTGGGCTCAGAGCCAGAGAAAGGTCTGTTTTGACACGGTTTTGTTCAAAATCGTTCGTGCGGTGATTCAAAGACAGGAAGGCACTCTTACGGCTCAAATCCGCCAAAACAAGGGCTTTGGGCGAAAATTTGCGATTCTCGGCTATTTTTAGCCCCCAAACTCGCTCCGCCGTAAAGTAAATCGACGTCCTGAGGCCCCAAAATCGTAAGGTAAATCGACCAAAATTTGGAGGTTTTGGCGGAGGTAGTTAACCCCGAGTGACCGGGGGCCTCTTAGGCGGCACATAAGCGGGACGCGGGGATGATGGTAGCGTGGTGACTTGAGAGGTAGATATCAGATGCGGCGACGGAAAAGGAAATCGTACTTTATCGTCTACTTTATAAACCCTGATACTCGTCCACTCTCTCAGTTTCACAATGCCCCACCCCGACCTCTATAGATTCTTCGCTCTCAATTCAGAATGGGCCAGGCGCGTCGAGAGCCAGGAGCCCGGCTTCTTTCAAGAGTCCACCAAGGGTCAGACACCGCAGGTGTGTGTCCTCGACACCTCAAGCCCTCAACGACCGTGGACTCACAGAAATCCGCTTAGGTCCTCTGGATAGGCTGCTCCGACTCGCGGGTTCCCGAGTCTGTCATCACCGCCGTTCGCCCGGGCGAGATATTTGTGCACAGAAACATTGCAAAGTGGGTCCATCCAGCGTACCTGTTGTGGCGCCCCTGCTAATTTTATCGGGCCAGCCAATTCCAGCTAGAAGACAACAGCGTGCAGTCTGTGCTCACATACGCGGTGGAGCATCTGGGTGTTGAACACGGTGCTTTCTTTCTTCCTCCTACGCCGTAGCCATCCCAACCTTCGCTTCGTTTAGTCGTCGTCGTCGGCCACACCGAGTGTGGAGGTGCCGCGGCGTGTTTTGGTGCTGCATGTTCCCCCGCCTTCTCCGCCAGTGCAGAAACCTGCATAATCGACCCCCGCCTCGCCCCTGATGCGCCGCTCAACCAGTGGTTAACGCCACTCACCAAGCTCGTCGCGTCCCTCAAGCTCTCCAGCGTGCCCAAGGCAGAGGCGCTGCCGCTGATCGTCGAGGAGAACGTCAAGATGCAGGTCGAGAACCTGTGCATGGCGCAGACGATCGTGGACGCATGGACACACAAGAGCAGGCAGGGCAAGGACGTGTGGGTGCATGGCTGGGTCTACGACCTGGCTTCGGGGCAACTGCGAGACCTCGACATCTCGCGCGGGCCTAAATAAGATATCGTCGCATATACATACCCCTTGTAAATAATCTTGGAACCTGATTTAGAATACATGCTCCTCGTTCAAAACGCTCACTTCGATGGCTCTCTGCGTGGAAATTGCGTCTTATAACACCAATTTACAAGGCGACAATGGCGTTCCCCAGGACCTCGTCGACTGGCTCAGCCCGACTCTGCAGGTCTCCGCCTTTCTGTCCCACCAGCGCCCAGCAGATATAATCGCGGTTGGCTTCCAAGAGCTCCTTCCGTTGCACCTCGGCCGTTAGCACACCAGTACTTTGAGGCCCGTTGAAGCTAAATAACAAACTACAGTCTCTGGGCTCTCTAACAAGGTCGTGGACGCCCGTTGCGCTCATATCCTTGCGCAGCTTGAGGAAAATTCTCTCAAGAACGAGGCGTATGCGCTTATTGCAAAGGTCGTCAACGGCGGTGTCGCACTCCTTGTGTTTGCTCGCGACGCCAGTGTCGCCCGCAAGGCGTGCGATGTACACACGACCTGGACGGGCTCGGGCCCCGGGTACATGTCGAACAAGGGCGCAGTGGGCGTGCGCTTCCGTATACCTAGCGAGGAAGGCGGTCCGGGCCAAACCTTCACGTAGGGCTGCCTCTTCCTTTTCGCACCCTCCTCGCCCTGACGCTGCAAAGTTTTGTATGTGCGCACCTCACGGCGCACGCAGAGAAACTCACAAATCGGATCGCCGACTGGCACCACATTGTGGGCTCGCTGCTCTTCCCGTCGCCCGCGGGCACCCGCACAACGCTCTACGACACCTCGCACCTCTTCCTGCTCGGCGACCTCAACTTCCGCGTCGACCTGCCGCCCGAGCACCGGCTCAAGGGTGCGTCCCCGAGTGACATTGGGCAGGCGCTTTCGAGCCAAAGCGAGCGCGACGAGCTGAAAGAGTACGACCAACTGTTGCGGGTGCGACGCGACCCCACCAGCCGCGCGTTCGTCGGGCTTCGCGAGGGCG